AGTGGCGACCTTTTCTAGAGATGACTTTTATACAAGCTCCATTGTTTATTTATAAAATTATATATTAACTGTAATACGCCCGCTGGTGGATATAATCCACATCACCTCGACCCGCGGGCGGAAAAATCGTATAGCACTCGGGCCCGATGGGCCCTCCGTGCTATACGAAAATATGTCCTCCTCGGGCTAGCGCCCTCGGGGACATATGAAATATTGCACGCGCGTGCGCGTGCAATATTTTGTTCCGCCCGCGAGTCTCCGGTGATATGTATATATATCCACTCTAAACAATAGCATAAAATGCACATTGTTTACAAATAACCGTTTATTAGGTGAACACCGTGATATATGGCAATCCAGAAACACGCCTACTCGCTCGAATTTCAAAACATAACTCAAGCCAGAATGGGCGCCAATCAATCGAACTAAAATTGAGCGTTAGAAAGCCAGACTTCATGTCTGGCGCGCAGCAGTAAAGATAAATATCGTTTTAGCACGCTGAAAAATATATACCTCTCTGCGCGCACTTTGCATTGGTGCCTGCCGACAAGTCTGTACGCGTTTTTTGGTTTTGACCGATTTCACAACTTTTCTATCTTAACGAAATAAGTACCAATTAGTCTGTCAGTTTGGTATATTGTTTTTATTTTGTGTGCTAATATGATGTGCCTAGTTGATCTGCTCCGGGCTTTATAGTTGTATTCCTGTACCATGCCTCCAGCAGGCAGCACGCTAAATCTGATAATTTGGAAATATCTCAAGTTTGATGGATAATGGAGTCATGAACCGTAGCTCTAATCTTGATCTGTACAATAAACATAATGTAAAAGCGATTGCATGCTAATCGAAAGAGGAGTTATTTCGTTAGTGACAGTAACGGGTAACCAATGTTCTCATTAGGATGGATATCTTTATACGAATTATCTTTACCGCCTTGTAACATTAAGAACATCAACACGCTGCTCGATCTTTAAAATTACCCTAATCAAGGCCGACTAGAGTATGTTGGGCCCGATGGGGACAAATTTGCAGCGCCCCCTGCTCCCCCGGGAAGGTAACATAACCACCCAGTGTAACGAGCATTAACCAGCACTGTTAACAACCTTTACCAATTTTACCTGCACTTTACCTCCGCACAAAGATTTTACTCTCATTACTTGGTCACGTGTTCCTCCTTAAAGTTCACGACCTCATGTGATCCTTTATTCTTCTTTATTTTCTCTACCAAAATTAAGATTTCTTTGACACAGTTTCCCACCTCCATTATCGTTGTGTCCGACTAGGTGCTACGTGTTAGTGTGCGAGGCGTGGCCTAGGTCTTGAGAAACGCTGCAGCTCACATTACATATAATATTTATATATTATTTATATATACTCGACATCTTCCCATTCTCGGTTCACCATGAGCTAACATATTCTGAGTACTGATCAGTAAGATACTGAGGGAACTCTACCCTCTACCACACGCCGGTGTGTGAACAGTTCCCGCGCCGTCCTCCCCGCGTGTGATGAACGCTCCCAGAGCAGCACTTTGTGACACTTGGTCCGGTCTTCTGGCTCAAATGAAAAGTGACAGAACACGGAGTTAGCCCAGCGTGCCCGAGCCGATACCAGGCAGCTGCTATTGGGTTGATAATGAGCGCATGACACGCTTTACTTAACTACAAACTTAATATACGAATAAGTTGAAGCTAATTATGCGCATAAAGGTGATAGAAATGCGTTGAGTGCCTTTCTCGTACGATTACTATTCAAGTACGGCTGCTGCTTTTTTCCCTTTGACAAACGCGTCTCACTTTTACTCTTTTCGTTAGATTCCCAGCTCATGTAGTGTGGAATGTCGACAGCAGGCGCAGCAACTTCACTACGACACCTCATATTCTTCAGATACTGGTTTAGAAACTTCACGTACGCTGAGAAAAACACCAAGACGAGATTTTAAAGAGTTAGTTCGTTGAAAGAGAATTTAGGAAACGATTCAAATAGGGTAAGCAGCCAGTTCAGTGCTTCTTTCAAAACGACCTTGCAGCGAAATAGACACTGGTCGTGTTTTTCAGGACAACATCTCGCTCAAAAGTTGTCATACTGTCCCATAACAGACGGTATTTGGGAGTGGTTACGTTACAGCCAAGTCAGAAGACTTCAGAAACTAATTCCTCCGACTATTCCTCGTCTGTTTACAGAATCTGACCTTTTCAAGCCCTAGACTTGGTGACTTGTCCTCAGTGAAAAGTTGTGTCAGGGATACTTTGTTACCGTAAAATCGTTTCCAGTTGTTTTCAAACCTGATTTTCGGCTGATAATCACGTCACATACATCTGATCACGTGACAAAGTTACCTGATCACGTGACAAAGTTACCTGACACGTGATCCGTCACCATGACGACGAGACGAGCCTCTTCGTACTCTCGGTCGTGGAGCTGTGACTCGGAGAACACGGACGGTATCTCGCCCAGGGAGTGGAATACCTTGCGGAGGAAGAGCAGGCAGAGGGAGATAATATCAGCTGTTATTTGGCACGTGCAAGCTGATGATGATGACAGGGTAACTTAAACAAACAAACTAAACCCCGATTTACCGCGAACCCCTATTTACCGCGGATGTTTCCTTTCCTCTAAACTCTGTGGTAAATCGGGGTTTTACTGTATGAAGCTATTTGGGATGTAGTGAAATTTCAAACTTCCGACCAGTTAATCCTAGACCAGATCAGAAAAATTCAAGAATTTGGCCTTTTTTTCAACTTTAAACTGTCCCGGGGATTGAGTAGTCGCTCGTTTATAAAATTACATTTTCAATTTACTTTATCCTGTAAATGACTTTTTGGTAAACGTGGGAAACATGTATCCTGATGGGGGAATTGTAACTACTGATTTGGTCAATGGTCATGGGTGACCTATTGCGAAGCCTTTTCGGTTGAAAATGTGTTTATTGGGTTTGATTCAAGTTAGGTTACACAGATTGGCACAACATTTCTTTGTAGTGGAAATAACACCGACGTGGTAGTTGTCAACTATTTTGAAACTGTTCAAACGCTCCTTACTGATAAGATCCTGGTGCTCCTTACTGATCCTGGTGCTCCTTACTGATCCTGGTGCTCCTTACTGATAAGATCCTGGTGCAACCGCGAGGAACCAGTGCAGTGCCGACAAAATAAGGACCCTTAGTTCATGCATTGTAGTAAGTCTTATCACCACAATATGTCACAGATATCCATGATTATATCCCCCGATAACCTTGATGACAACATGCTCTGCACATTTTTGTGGCGCCAGTCACCTCTATTTGGTACTCAACCCAAACATTGGCTCTAGTAATCCTGTCATTGTGTGTGTATAGTTACACTGACAACCCCTCTCTGTTATCTGTACTGTGTATAGGTGTTCCTGCACTAGTCCTGCCGTTCTTCACTCAGTCACATATTTGCATATCTCTCACACATCGTGTAGTTTGAGTGGTTCCTTGCTCTCTCTGTGTGTATGCTAGATTTCTGGGCGTCATCCAATTGTTGTCATACTGTTTGACTGTGCTGTGATCGTAGTGTGATTCCTCTGAGACAACTCTGTGACTCCTCTGTGACTCCTCTGTGACTCCTCTGTGACTCCTCTGTGACTCCTCTGTGACCATAGTGCATATCTCGACTCTTAACCATGACCTCTCCCTCGACCTCGCCCTCGACCTCGCCATCTACCTCGACCGCGAACTTTATCAGGACTTTGTCCCTGTTCCAGCCTGAGGTACTGTATGTTTTTGGTGTGGGATATTCGGGTAGATGCCTGCTTTATTTCCAAGCCTCTGCCAGGGCCTTTTACCCTCTACCTCAGTCATCTTATACCCCTTTTCGAGATACATGCATTGTAAGACCGGGGCTGTTGTTAGCAAAAAATGGGAAAATATAACTTTTCTTGAATTTTCCTCATTCCTGGCTACGCCCTTGTAAGAGAATCCAACTTGTTAAGTGTTAACCCAGTTATTTGTGGTTCTTGATCGCAAATATGTTGGCCAGCTTTGTTCCTTAGACTGTTTTTTATTAGTTATCACAGTTAGTTAGTGTTAAAGTTAGCTAGTTAGTGTTAAAGTTAGCTAGTTTGTGTTAAAAGCATAATATGACGCACGACTAACGGATTGCCTAGCTAATCTGAGTTTGACTTTAGCTGCTCACTGCACACCCAATCAAAAACAGTCAACTAGTGAACTTTATATTTTTCTGTAATCACGACTTATCAATGTGGTTTAAAAATTAGATGACCACTGAGCGTGAGCTTTCAATTTTTATGTCACTGTACTTCTCACAGAGAAGTTTACAGTTTGGGGTAGTCCATCTCAAAATATTGTAATTTTTGAGGTTGAGAAATGTTCAAAACTTTCCACATTTCCGACATCCATCTTTAAAATTCAGGTTATGGTGTGTCATAAGAGATTGTCAACAAATTCCTTCGAAATTCTTAACATGGGCTTGTCAGAAATTTAGAAAAATTCAATAAATTTTCCCACTTGTTTGACATTCATCCACCCACGTCGAAAATATCAAGAATGTCAGGACTATTTTTGTCACTCTTGACATTTTGGAAATCTACTGTGCAAATATCGGTCTTCGATATATGTATGTACCGTACCTGAAATTTTAACAAATTATCGACAGTAACAAGATTGTTATCATACATCCCAACCTCTATCTAGAAACTCGTATACGGTCTGAAAAACCAGTTATCAACAATTCATCAAAAATACTGAGTGGCATGTTTTTTGTTATGAAACTGAGATATACATCAACAATTTTATAAATTTTTGAAGAAACCTTAAATTTTGGTTTTATCGGATTCAATGGAAATATATAACTTTTAGACACTTTCCTTCTAGTTCTTAACTATCTGGTAAAACTAAAACAAGCCACCAATAACACTAAGTTCTAAAACTTGCCTATAAATCTGAATCAGACTGTAATTGTTGAATAATAAAGCAGTGATAATATTATAAAGGAGTAACATTCCTCCAATTTCAGGCGGACACACTCGACTCTAACACCCATGAAGACCTCCGAGAAGAAAGTAAGTCCATAACTTCCACTTACTTTTCATTACAATTGTATAGCAGTCTCTCTTAAAGCATTCTGATTCATGTTCTGATGATTACAATAATCTTTACTATTAGAGGGAGGCAGGCTTGTAGCACTCATTGGATGCTGATATATGCTGATAACCAGTAATTGTACCTGGTAAAATTTCACTCTTTATCGGATATATATGTGATATGAGACTGCATGTCATCGTATTAGACCTTCTTGAGTGTTTGTCAATTATTGCATGGGAAATGAGTGTTGTTTCGTTGTTGTTTTCTCGCACCTTGTATATTTCAGGATTTGAATATGCAAAACTCATGGAGTTGAGCTGTAATTTTAAAGATTGTATTTTGTTGGTCCCAATCTGCACCAAGAAAAAGGTTTAAAGTTTGTTCTCCAATCTTACTGTAGCCCAGTTTATTTCTAAAATTGCAGAATTAGGACCATGTATCTGACAAAACTTGGTCGTCTATGTCTCCCAATGGTGACTGAATATATAGCAACTAAACTATCAGTTTGTACGTGTCTTTAACAGTGTCACTATTGACCATGCACAGCCAAAATAACCTAAGTTTAACCCTGGAAACTATACGCTGTAGTTTCATTCCCAACATAGTTTGTCTCTACAAAATATGTTCCAATATTCTCATGATTCACCCTAGAACCAGTGTAACACTGCTATCGAGTGAAGCCCCTCCTAAATTTACTAATCTATATTACTGGCTTCCCACTTATGTGTTTCTTTGACTGTGCTCAATCGCCGCTTCTCCCATCTGTTAATTTATCCTTGTCGAGCGTATCTTGCATATTATCTTGAATTAGCTTGCAACTTAAAACTGTATTTTACTCTGATCCTTAGCCATAAATTTGAGAAAAAATCGCGGGAAAGTTGACTCTTCACCAAAGTTTTGTACTGCCCAGTAAAGAAACGTTCGATTGAACAAAGTCGCATCTTTTAACAGCAAGATTTACCAATAAAGGTCGAAAAGTGAACTGTTAAATAAGTTGCCTAATGACAGGCCTCAACTTTAACAACTGCAAGGTGTCTTGTGTTGAAGCGTTGGGCGCGGGTCGTCATGTCAACCGTTACTACGGTAACGACACGCACCGTTACTATGGTAACGACGTAAAACTAGCATACGTCTCCTTTTGTCACGCTTGAGACAACTGTGTCAGAGCGAAATATTTTATTGTTGTAACTTTTGTCCTTTGTTCGTTGTTTTGGAATTTATCTCTTTTTGTTTGTCGGGGTGTCTTTGTTTTTCGTCGTGCATGGAATGAACTCTAAAGACACCATGACGTCACGGTACCAGTTTGACGCTCACGTGATGACGTCATGTGATGTTGATGACGTCACGTGTGGTTACCCCGGTAACAACGGTACAGGCTTGAGAAGGAAGACACTGCCCCGGTGTAACACAACCAAGATGCTGGATATCCGGAACAAGTATAAGATACTCCGGAGTGGGGTGGGTGCGAGGTCGTGCAGTGTTACAGACGACCACTGCGAGGATCAGGACGAGGACCTGGGACGGACGAGGTGCATGTCGCTCCCCCTGGATAGCAGCGGAGACGGAGACACGCTGCAAGTGAATCACCCTGGATACGCTCATGTCAGACGCAACTCCTTTGATCCGTACAGTACGTTTTATGGTGTATGAATAGTATGAATAGTTGTGTGTCGTATGGTATGATGGGTGTGTTTCAGGGCCTCCCGTTAGGGGATGTCAACACAAATGTTTTCGTAAATATATTGCGTAAAAACGAATGTTTTTTGGGTAAAACAATTCCATGTGTTGTTTTGTTTGTTTTGTTCCGCGAAAGCGAGTTGCAGATGGTTTATTTATCTTAAATATATGTACATAATAAATGTTTTGGGTTCAATTAAAACAAGTATTGTTGTAAATGAGCATGTAAAAGTCTGTGGAAAACTTAGCGTACATATTGGGCCAGTAACTTGCGGAGCGCGCAGCATGCAGCGGTTTAAAGGAACGCACCACAATAGGCTGGCCCGATGTGCTGTCCTGAGTTTTGCACGATATGTGTTTGCATGTTAACTGTTAAGAGCTCAACTTACAGTTCACTAGTACACACCCTCCCTTCCCGTCTCCCACACCTCATCAAGCACTCTCAGATCCCTAATTAGTGGGATATATTCCTAATTATGGGATAATAATATGTAGTATGTAATGTTGTCTAGTTATGGGATAATATGTGTGTAATTAGTAATATTGTCTATTTTGCATTTGATCACGTGACACAGTACACACACGTCTCAGTTGCCACATTGGGGGAGTGTATAGTAGTCCAGTAGTTTCGTGTCAAGTTACAGCGAGAAAAGGGCTACCTATAATGTAGTCAGTTTCTATTGTAATGTTACATTGCCGGCATTCTTCTCCAGTTTCTCTGTGTGTTGTTTCCGAGTCTAAAATGACAGCTTGTTTGGTTGTTCCTTTCTTGCTGTTAACTGTTCCTACTTGTACTGCGCAAAAAATTAATTTTAAACCTGGCCCATTCTAACATTCTTGGAACCAAATATATTTTTGTGAGGTTACAGCATCATTTAAGGATTGATAATTATAAAATTATATTATGTGCCATAAACACATAAATAATAGTGATAACGAGTATAATAAAAAAATCCGTTGTTGTCTATAAAAGTCTTCATTTGATATTGTTATGGATCTCTGGCTAATACATAAATCTTCTTTGATTTTATAGACTTTTATTTGATTTATTAATTTGCGTCACAGTCGGCTATTAGTCTTAAATATTGTCGCCTATTTCATTAAACACTTCCATATTTAGTCAGGTTATCGTACCACGTAACACACAAACCGTCTCTACATCAAATTACTACAATCCTGAAATATTGCAAGTTTTGATAAGATGTATGATAGGGGTTCATTCGGCAGAAATCAGAATTTCCACTTTTGGACTCGCGCCATCGGCCAACTCTGACACTCTGTTGACAGACTGGCTACTTCATGCCACAAATAAATAAAAGCAATAGGTTGTCTGCAAAGACTTAGGAAAGTTACAGAACTGTTCGAAAACTTTCGTCGTAAAAATTCAACTGTGTTGTACACTGGCATACAATAAAAGCTTACATAAAAACTTACAATAGAATCCAACTCCACGCGATGAAATGAAACGTAGATTTATTATTACTATCTTCCTTTTTACCCTTCAGCCTTGAGCGATAAAGGTTTCTGCTATGACAACCATAAATAGCTAGCATAATGGGGAAAAGCTTACACTTCTGCTTTCGTTTGCTTAAAAATGCAATTGATATTGAACGCTCGAGTTACGAGTAATGCATAAGAATTGGCATAGAAATCGTCACAACATCAAATGACTACAATCCTGAATATTGGAAATTCTAACAAGACTCATGAGCGGACCTCATTGACTGAGCAGAAGTCAGAACTCGTGAATTTGTGGCATTAGCCAAATCTGTTGACAGGCTGGTTTTGTAGTACTGTAGTAAGTTGTCTGGCTAATAGTAGTTATAGTGAATGTCATCCACCGAAGTGCACTCGAACTTTCGCAGTAATATTCAATCGTGCCGTCCTCGTAAAAGTATTTGTTATATGAGCTCTAACTAATGGGTCTGTCCAGCGAGCAACGCGCAGCTACTTCAGGTATGTGAGCAGTATAATACTAAGATTCCAACAGTCTGTACAAAATAAGACCCTTAATTCTCTGATATTACCCGTAACTGGGATGTTTGGAAAACTGTCGCGAGTAAGTAAATTCTGCTACGCTACGCTCGCGACTGGAACTAAAGTTTTCAATTTTACCACGTGATTAAAATGAAACGTTGATCTGGTACATAACATGTCACCCCCCTACGATCTTCCTTTCTGTCTTTGTCAAGCGGCGTTAATAAATAAATGCTTCTCCTAAAACTTTGCGTTTCACAGTTTAAGGTATTTAACAGCTAGTTATATATTGAAACAGACAATTTCCCGTCTTTTCGCGGCAATCAGGTTGAGACAATGACACTTGCGTATTCTATCAGAAATCTTATAAGGGATTTTATCCAGTCGGTTGTTATATTTATTGTATCTGATATATATATATATATTGTATATTCCTGTGCAAACATTTTACTATCAGAATGGTACGAGGTTATTAATTGAATGACAGAAAACTGGTACGACAACTCCCTCTGATCTGCAACTTACAAACTTACAATATGGTGCCAAAATTCTCATCATCATTAATCCCTCAGTGCAGTTGGATTTTAAATGTCTTATTTGTTTACGCCCATCGTACAATTTTCGTTATTTAAATCTAGACATTCTTCTACTTAAATCCGCGATTCGTCTATTTGTGTTTAACAGACCAGGCGTATTATAAAAATGATGTGTTACTACTGGCGAGCACTTGTTTGGAAACTATCACCAATAACGGCTGTTGAACACAACATCTTTATGTTTTAGGGTATCTCCACATGTTTACCATAATATGAGTTTGTCATTATAGTTGATAATTTATATCAGTGTGATGGTCACGCAATAATTTTGAACTTTTACATATGAAATTATTAAGCAACTTATTTCTGGGAAATCAAAGTTGCGATTGGATAAAACATTCAAAAACATTTAGGGCAATCAATGTGAAAATTAGAAAAAAACTTGTCTCTTGCAACGATAAAATGTCACAAGTTTCAATTGTTTCGATATTTTTCTTACGAAAACCTAAAATAAGTTTGTTAAAAATAAATAAGTTAACAAATTCAAGTGAGAACAGGCATGTCTTAAACAGCAGAATTTTCTAGTTATCGAACATCGTGAATTTGTTTCGTAGTACATTCTTTCAAGATAACTGTTATGATCTTTTCTAAAGTTATATTTTGTTTTCTACTCAATCCCCAGTTTTCCCACATCAAGAACATCCCCCAACTCACATGTGACACGAGGTCACTGATCATTAATCCTGTACCACTAACATCACGTGATCACGTGATCACGTGATCAGCCTCATGTTATCACGTGACCCCAACTATAGTCATGTTCTCAACCACAGCTTTGAAGTCATGAAGTATGTACTGTGTAACTATAGTTACGTAATGTTACCCACAGCTCATATTATCCCTACTGTTGGTTAGTTGGCTGCAGCATGCAGCCCTTTACTTGTTACATGCAGTTTATTGTATACCATTTCCTGGAAGCATACGTAACTACCTTCCTCTGGCCCCAAGCGGGGGGGGGGGGGGGGGGGGGATCAGGTACCAAGTATTCTAACTCTTTAACAATATTCCTCTGTTAGACGTGATGTTCCCTGACGATTGTGTTTTACGTTGACTGGCATATTTCATCATTAGCACTATTATAGAAGCAATAACGAAACTTAATTTTAACGAATTTCAAGTCACCAGCCAACTAAATCATACATATAATTGGATCTTTAATCTCAAACTGATCATATATATAATAATCAGCAATAGAGGCTATCAAATCCAACCTATTCTTAGCTAATGCAACATACCCAACTCTTTCACAGGATCTATCTAAGTAATTCTAAATCTGTCGCACGACACCTATGAAATGTTTGGTATCTGACGTAATCAGGCCGCATTGTCCTGATTGGAATGTATTTGCCGATAACTAACGAGATAGTTCTGTTAGCGATCATTGATTGATAAATACCTCCCTCGGAGAAGTAAACGTCAATGATTGTTTGTTATTCGCTTTTACTGAAATATAATCGTTTGTTGCTTGTTTTCAAGTTATTAATTTATTCGCTCACGTACCAACATTTTCGTTTGTGCTTTTTGAGCGCTATAATCCATTGCCATTTCCATATAGTCCACACCCTGGCTCCACAATACGAAGGACTTGTTTTAATTGTAAATGAAAAGCTCGAATAGCCACGTGACAGTCACGTGGTAATATTATGACTGTAGGTGTAAAGTACATTTCCTCATTGTTTCCACCTTGTCTGCCCTGACCCTCCACTCTTGTACTTGTACTGCACTATTTGTAATTCTCTTGTAAACAGTTTTAATAGGCCCTTCTATCCATACCAATAGTGACCACATACTCCGCAACTCAACAATTTCCGCGCCTTTTGACGCTTGTTGACACTCTTTATTGTTTGAGAAGGGGGCTTTAAACGGTCCGAATTATTTGCTGGTTTGATGACACTTTAATTTTCAAGTTCTCTGAAAACATGACCTTATATTTGTCTCCTTGATGTCATAATCAACCTTTAAACTCACTCCAATTTAAATGCAACCTGTCCAACTGAGTTAGGATGGTAAAGGTAGTTCCTCTCAACATAAATATTCTAAAACTATTTGCCCAAAATATAATGACATCAACCCTCACTAACCTCACTAACCTACCTTACCTCACTAACCTACCTTTATACTCTTTATTTTCTTACCCTAATGATAACCTGTTATATCCAGTAATACACGGCACTATTACGGCACTACACAGTAATACACGGCACTAACACGGCACTACACTGTAATACACGGCACTAATACGGCACTACACGGTAATACACGGCACTAATTGTCCGGCTAACTGCTGAGTTGCTCACTGTATTTCTACTATTTATACTGTTCTATTCTCTGCTCATTTGCTGTGCTGGAGTAGTAGTTTCTAAATTACAATATAAGGCTT